TCAGGTTCATAAATTCAAAGTTCAGTTCAGGTTCAGGTTCAAAGATCTGCAAAATTTGTAGTTCAGGTTCAGGTTCAATTCAGGTTCATTGAATCTGAACTTGAACTGAACTGAACCTAGGAACCCTACATATACCAATAATTCTTTCTAAGGTATATAGATGTTGTTCGAAATTTCTATTTAATTTAGCTAATTGTGATACCACCTCATAGAGTTCCTGGTTAGTTTGTTGTAACTCCTCCATGTTTTTTATTACTATAATAAAACAAAGGAATAGAGAAACCCGTAATTTATATTGACCCACAAAAGGCCCGTGATTTGGATAGGGAAATTGTTAAAACTAAAAGAATAGAATAGCCCATAATAAATATTAGTCCTCAGAGAGCTCATGATTTGGATAGAGAGATTGTTTTGCAGAAATTATATTACCAACCTAAAGGTTATTACCAAAATGCTGAAATGCTTGTATAAAGGCCAGATACAACTTTCCACTTGCTACAATAAAAAAATGGCTTGAGTCTCAGAAGATGCATCAAATTTATCGTTCTTCACCAAAGAATACACCTTATGCTAGTTATTCTAGAATCTCAAAACCTAATTGTGTTCATCAGTGCGATTTAATTGAGATACTATATGATGAAGACAAGTATACAAATTTATTGAATGAAGATAATGAAATATTTTATTATGTATTATTAGTTATATATTGTGCAAGTAGATATAAAGATTTTGTTTTTTTAATATCAAAGAGCAGTTCAGAAGTTGCCAATGCATTTAGAAATATTTATGAAAATCCTAATAATTACCTTATATATCCTCGATTGTTGCAATGTGATGAAGGGCGTGAATTTATGGGGAGTGTAACTTTATTGATAGGTAAGCATAATGTTAAAATTAGGAGAATTAAGGCTCGCTTCAGACATACAAGTCTAGCAATAGTTGATTGTTATGCTGGACTTTTTACTTTAAGAGTTTTTAAGAATCAATATGTGATAGAATTCCTTTTACCTACTGGTAAATGCTGTAGAGAATATGAACGATTTGCAAGAAGAATTGTTGATAATATAAATGTCACCCCAACTCGGTTAATTGGGATAAGCCCTAATAGTGCCATAAAACTTGAATGAGTTTATTCTAAGCTATCAACAAAGTATTATCGTCCAGTAGGTGCTGATGAGCCACAGTTACCAAAGAGAACTATAGTTCGATTTTTACTTGCTCCTGGTGAATGGAAAAATGATCCTTTTGAACAACGAAAAATAACAGATCTAATATGGTCTCCTAGCCTATATAAGATTCGGAGAATTGTTGTTTGAAAGAACCCTCCTATGCCTGTTTTATATTACTTAGATGAGTCAGGACCTTGACGTCCCTTTGTAAGGGAACAATTAATGCATATTAAGGAAGAGCCTATGTTACCTTCTAGGTGGGTACTGGAAGATAACCGAATGCATATAAGGTGCTCCTTATAAAAGTTTCTAAGTCTACTACATAGTAGGGTATTGTAATAAAGATTATTCCTTCTCTATAACATAATGCTCTTTTTTCCCAATCACGCCAAATTTGTATATCTAGATTTATTTGACCTTGTGGGTGAAAAAAAGGCACAATTTGGTAATATTGATTACCACTATATTCGAAAGCCAAACCTAACTCTTCATTATATCTGTCTAGATATAAACTCTCTAAAAATTTAGGTTTTCTGGGTGAGAATTTTTTATTTAACAAATCCTCAAATATATACCTGCATGTTCTTTCTGGTATATTAGGGCAAATATTACACTATTGGTAATTCTGTTTTATATTTTATATGATGCCTCCCATTGATGTTTTCTCTTATATGTCCATAAATATATATTAGAACTAACTTTAGCTAAGCATCTTCCTTCACGCTTTTGGGCATATGCCAAAGCTTTAGTGTCAATTTTGTTTTGCATCTGCCAAAAGTAAAATTATTACAGATATATATTGGTGTCTGCCAAAAGTAAAATCAAAAATTAATGCTCAATATATAAAATATATAAAGGGGTTTTTGGGTCGCTAAAATTTCAGGTAAGTTGCTGTCATCTGATTTACGTGTCTGGCCAATTGAGTAGAAGGTGATATTCTATGTAAGTGCTTTCGGTATATAGATTAAGGTATATATTCGATAACCATTTTTGTGTTGCGTATTTTTGATCAAGATAAAATTATACTTTGGATATCTACCAGATATATATAAAATAAAATTATGCTTTGATGGGACACCAAATAAGTATTATTTTGAGTAAAAAAGTAGGTCACCAAGTCAAGTAAAAAAAGTGATTGATTGCGGGTATGTGAATCGGGTGAACATCTATTTAAACTTGAATATTATTTATATATGAAAAAATATTATTAATATTGTATAAATATCTTAGTAGATTGTGGCGATCTTAGCTAAGAATACTTAACAATATAGGTCAATGATATCATCAATATCTGATGGGTCATCTTTTTTACTGCCATATGTGATTGATAATGCTTGAAGCCGGGTAATTTCAAGGCCAACCACCTTATACCATGTATTCCTGAAATCTATTAATTCTCGACACTCTGATTCCAAATCATATAGAAATATATATTGTTCCAGAATTGTAATTTTGGGCTTGCATTTTTGCACCTGCGTAATTAAATCATACATCGCATTTCTATATTAAGCTTAGACAATTTTAAAAGTAGATTCAATAATTTTGAATGAGTGGAGTCTGTAATTTTGTCTAATATATTAAAGTAATTATTATGCTCCGCAAAGATGCTTGAAGATCTGGTTATGCCAGCTTCACTAATGCCAAAATATATTTTTTCAGCTTGAGTAGTAGCATTTTTCCATAAATGGGAGATAATAGCTTCGTCTTTTTTCGGTGCATCACGTAAGTTCTTAATATAATTTTTGAGCTATTTTTTAGCCGACTTCTATAACTCTTCATCTTTAATTTTTGCTATTTTATCTTCATCTAGACTCGGAGAGTCATTGCTCTGCAATAAATCCTTAGCAATTTTTAATTTCTTCTTCTTGGATTTCTTTTTGCGATCCATGACTTTTGAGAGGGATTCAGGCGATGGTTGATATTTATCATCATAATTTATAAAACGGGCACAGAGACCAAATAGACTTTCGATATAATAATCAATATTTATTTTCTTGTTGAACTTTTTTACCACATCTGGGTATTCCATACAGTCTCCTTTTTGTTGTGGTATTTTTTTCCCGCAGTTATCATAAATCTCTTCAGGTACTACTACAATGTAACTAAATCGTTCACCGGGTTTGGGGACTTTATATAGGCATTCGTTAGCAGGTAAACCCTTCTTTATAAGCTATTAATTTTCCAATACTTTACGAGAATACTTAGCCTCCATTCGCGAAACAAACCATTCTACAGAAATATTTCCCCACTTACCTTCCTTTTTAGGCCTCTATATACATGTCTAAATAAATTCATCATAATCTAATTTGGAAAGTTTTTCCACATTTTCCCAAAGAACTTTTTTAACAATTTGGTGTATTGTTTTCTCATTACTGACTTTCAAAGTTCTATTCATAATTTCCTTATCTACATCACAGAAAAGCTTAGATTAACCTCTTTTCACAATATCCACCCCTTTAATAAAAAGCTTACCTGGATTAAAGTTTGGTTTATTTTTATGCTCTAGACCATGGTATTTTTTCTTTCCTGTAAATACTATAGGAAATAAGACCTCCTTATATGCCATATTAAGGTAAGGCGTTCCATTGTTTTTTTCAAGCTCAGTATTTACTTCATTACGGAGGTTTGCTATCAATTCTATAGATATTTTTACCATTTTCTCCCAGTACTCTTCTTGTAAAAGTTGATCTAATTTATATTTTTGATCACATTCCTGGAAACACTCCTCTAGACATGTAAGATATAAAGAATCAGTATTTCCATATTTAATATTGAACTCTTTGTCTTCAACAAATTTTTTAACAAATTTAATATTACACTGTCCAGCAGAAGTAACTCCACCTGCTAACTGCAGTTGATAGAATGGAGAGAGATTATTACCTGCCTCACTATAAAATATATTTATATATAATTTTACTGCCTTTTGTTTTGAGTCTAAGCAACTATATTCGAAACTTTCTTCATCTAATTCATTAAGGCATTCTTTCATTTTCTTTTGTTTATTAAACAGATTCTCCAATACTCTAGTATATAAACTCTTTTCTTCAGGTATATTATTGTGACAAATGGACCAAGCTTCTATAGTTTGACTATTGAATAGAAATTTAATCATATAGATCTTCCTTCCATTGCGAATTACATTTATTGTCTCTTCACGAAATAATATTATTTTATCTGGTGAAAGGTTGTAAGTCATTATAAGACTTGGGTATAAGGAGGCAAAATCTAAGCCTGTT